AATATTTCTAATTAAACTCAAATATTTACATGATCATGACTTAGTCGCAGGGCCCTAATAACAGACTGATGTGTAACAGACTGAGGCTTTCTTAATATAATTCTCTAAATTGGACATTGTGAAGAAAAAAGAAAATCAGGAAATTGCTTGGCAGAGGCAAATAGAAAGAACACCAAATTGCTTTCAAAACAACATCTTTTGCAAAACTGTTAGATAAAGGCCACCAAGTTTAATAAGAATGGTGATCCAATATATTATTCTAATACAAGAAAAATTATTATAAACACATATTTCACTATGACTAAACAAATAGCCTACATAAATTAAGCATATTAAATAAAATAAGCCACATTTATGCTGTACATTTCTGATGAAAGATAAAACTGTGCTGCCCTCTAGTGTTACCTTTATAAACTGATACATACCTAGTGTATTGTGCTGTAGGGCCATGGTTGGTGCTTGCTCTATATTGTAGGCCTACAGTATATTTGTGTGTTTATGGAGGAGTGATTTATAAATGCAGGTCAGCATTCTTCCAACATCATAATGCTCGGTTATTGTCTAATGGAGCAGTCTCTGACTCTGGGTGACTCCTTCATTTCCCCCACATTAATGTTGTACACTGTTGTCTGCAGGGATGTGTAAAAGTTCACAAGTGCACCATCATTAGACAAATTAACCTCAAAATGTGCATTGAAAAGTTCACTGAATGCCCCAAAGGAGCAGTTTGCCTGGCATGAGACGAGATGCTTATTCAGTGTTGATGTAAAAGCTGTCAATCCTGCTTTTCTGACATCCAAAGGTATGAATGTTGACGCTGGTTGATGGTTGATGCTCCTCCAAACTCCAGCCTGAGGACTGAGATAAGGACACTGAACAATAGACAAGCATAATGTGCAGCAGTAAACAACATTATTAAAGTGATTATTTAAACATTGACTCATTGGCTAGTGAACGCCTATGATCAATCTCATTCACTTTTGAGCAATCTGCATGAGCTAAGAAGTTGACACGATATATTATTGAAATGCCACTACCTGATAAAAGATTACAAGTCTTTCAGCAGCATCGCATGCACTCATTTTTGGAGACTTAAGTCCTCCAGCTAGTGGTGGAAGGAGATGCATCAGTAACAGAAGGGATGTCATTTCTTGGTCGTAGACAATTAGTCACACAAATTAATTGAATTTTTAAAAAAAAGAAGTCCAACGTTGATGGATCTCAGTCCGTCTCGCTCAAATTGAGAGTCACCAGATCGGTAGGCCAGCATGGCGTCCGCAACAAATCCACACCAAATTCACAATGTACAAAGTAAACTCAGTCAAACAAAAATAAGGCTTAGATGATGAATGTAAGGTTTACATTCTTGCCTCAGACAAAGAGAAATTAGGGTTTTGGAGGAAAATATTCCAGGATTTTCTCCATGTAATGCAAGTGAATGGTGCCCAATTTATCCAAAATCCATATCTATAAATAAATACATAAAAAATGTAAAACACTCAAATTGATAAACAAAATCATATTGAGTTGTGCTATTTTACCTTAATGATTCATATGATCCATGGAGTTATTAATAATTAATAATAAAAGATGTACATTTCAAACATGTGCATTCTTCATCACGGCCTATTGCTGCATTCCTTTTACTAATTACATACAATTATTTTAATAATTGTATTAATTACATAGCCTACTGTGTACAATTCATATACCTAGTGTAATTCAGATTTATCAACTAAATTGCATTTATGTAGAATTTTTCATTTAGCATTTTACATTAATGACAGGGAGGGAGACCAAATCCTTTTTTGGCAGTATTGTTGCTTGTAGTTATGTATGGTTGCAGCTTGTCACGTAATATTTCATTACATAATGTCAGAGTCAGTGTACATAAGCAAATTTGCCCACGTCAGTCAGTTTCATAGGTCAGTTTGCACGAGTTGAGCGGTAACGTGTGAAATTGTTTATTTCATGTATAATGTTTGTTGTTTATATCATGTATAGTGTTTGTCATATACATGTATTTTGATCTTGTTAATAATAAAAAATAATAATAATAAAACGAGTTGAGCGGTAACCCACCGTGTGACGTCACGTGCGTTACGGCAGCCGTGCACGCGCACGCACACGAGTCGTCACACTCACGCTACTGGCGAGAGAGAGATCACTGAGAGAGGAGTGTTGATTTGCGAGTTAATGGAGGAGTAATTTATAAATACACAACAGAAAATGTTTCTTAAGCCATTCCTCTTAACCAAAAGTCTGTATAGTTAGAAAAAATGACACGACATTATCACTCACTTTTCAGAAGAGCAGTTATTTTAAGAAATATTGTTTTAGTGGACTCCAATTAAACATTTTTACAATACTGATACAGTATAAATATATTCTAACACAGTATAAGGTAACACTTTAATTTAAGGTGTCCTTGTTACACATGTTACATGTACTTACTATTATAAAAACAATACGCATAATTACATGCAGGTAACCCTAAACCAAACCCTCATCCTAACCCTAACCATATAGTAAGTACATGTAGTTCATTGATATATTAGTCAGTACTTAAATGTATAATTACACTGTAACAAGGACACCTTAACATAAAGTGTAACCTAGTATAAATATTAGTTTTTAAAATTAAATGGCAATTGGTTCAAATGATCTATGCTGAAAGCTCTGTTAAATGAACACCAATGCACAAAATAATTTATATTAACAACTTGTTTATTTTTTGCATTCTCCTTTGCAGTGTAATATAAAGTTGAATTCACACCTTACAAAATAAGGTATGGTATGGATGTCTGAATCGAGATTGCAATCTTTTAACAATTAATCGTGCAGCTGTGCCAGGATAGGAACTATGTTCACCTCTTAAATGTGAAATCAACTGTTGACTGCTGGGATGCTCTGACAAATAAAACAGGTCAGCATTCTGTGCATAACGCGCAGCCTCAGAGAAAACAACATTATTAAAGTGATTATTCAAACATTGACTCATTAGCTAGTGAAAGAAGACTTCATGATCAATCTCATTCACTTTTGAGCAATCTGCATGAGCTAAGAAGTTGACACGATATATTATTGAAATGCCACTACCTGATAAAAGATTACAAGTCTTTCAGCAGCATCGCATGCACTCATTTTTGGAGACTTAAGTCCTCCAGCTAGTGGTGGAAGGAGATGCATCAGTAACAGAAGGGATGTCATTTCTTGGTCGTAGACAATTAGTCACACAAATTAATTGAATTTTTAAAAAAAAGAAGTCCAACGTTGATGGATCTCAGTCCGTCTCGCTCAAATTGAGAGTCACCAGATCGGTAGGCCAGCATGGCGTCCGCAACAAATCCACACCAAATTCACAATGTACAAAGTAAACTCAGTCAAACAAAAATAAGGCTTAGATGATGAATGTAAGGTTTACATTCTTGCCTCAGACAAAGAGAAATTAGGGTTTTGGAGGAAAATATTCCAGGATTTTCTCCATGTAATGCAAGTGAATGGTGCCCAATTTATCCAAAATCCATATCTATAAATAAATACATAAAAAATGTAAAACACTCAAATTGATAAACAAAATCATATTGAGTTGTGCTATTTTACCTTAATGATTCATATGATCCATGGAGTTATTAATAATTAATAATAAAAGATGTACATTTCAAACATGTGCATTCTTCATCACGGCCTATTGCTGCATTCCTTTTACTAATTACATACAATTATTTTAATAATTGTATTAATTACATAGCCTACTGTGTACAATTCATATACCTAGTGTAATTCAGATTTGTCAACTAAATTGCATTTATGTAGAATTTTTCATTTAGCATTTTACATTAATGACAGGGAGGGAGACCAAATCCTTTTTTGGCAGTATTGTTGCTTGTAGTTATGTATGGTTGCAGCTTGTCACGTAATATTTCATTACATAATTTCAGAGTCAGTGTACATAAGCAAATTTGCCCACGTCAGTCAGTTTCATAGCACGAGTTGAGTGGTAACGTGTGAAATTGTTTATTTCATGTATAATGTTTATTGTTTATATAATGTATAGTGTTTGTCATATACATGTATTTTGATCTTGTTAATAATAATAAAAAAAAAACGAGTTGAGCGGTAACCCACCGTGTGACGTCACGTGCGTTACGGCAGCCGTGCACGCGCACGCACACGAGTCGTCACACTCACGCTACTGGCGAGAGAGAGATCACTGAGAGAGGAGACTACTGGTGAGTGTGTATTAAACACACGGTTTAGATTCTGTGGAACCAAATAACAGCCTGAACGATTTTAGAGTGAAACACTGAATGACGGCTAGCTCATTTTCAATCCTCATTAAATCTTCTTTTGGATTTATGTTAAATCACTTGAGTTTTTATAACACTTAAGGTCATAAAAAGAAAAGCAATAGTCATGATACAGTCTAATATGATTATTAAACTTTTAAAGGTTATGATTTAATTAAATCAGTGTGAGTACTGCACATTTCAAAGTCAAAATGCAGCCTTGTTCCCCAAAGCGTGAGCCTGGAGAACATGCATTTATTTTTATTTAGCTACTGTTGATACATTATGCAATGTTTACCTTATGGTGTTTATATTGTAATAGGTTATAGATTGTTGTAAGGATACCTATTATATCATCTCTTTTAATGAACAACTGGAAGTAGTAATACATTTCAAAATCAGAGTCCTGGTGTATTTCAGTCTTATCGTGCATTATTGCACTTTTTTCATAGTTATTATTGGTATTTTGGTTACTCAATAAACTGTATGGCATTTAATTCAGCATCAAGTCCTTGAATATGTACTGCAGCCTGTTTAATTAAGTTAATGATTATAAGATACATGTTCTGATTCTGAATGGACATGCTGTATTAATTTGATTTATGCAGGTCTTAAAAAAGGTCTTAAAGCCTTAAATTTGATTTTAAAAACCCTCCAAATACCCTTATTTAAAAAATCTGATATTAATGGATTTTGATGTCGCGTTTATTTATGCTTTTCTTAAAAACAAGGCTTGCTCTTGCAAGTTTGAACAAATACTCGGAGGCTGTGAGCTATTACAAGAAAGCACTGGAGCTGGACCCTGACAACGACACCTACAAAGCCAACCTGCAAATAGCAGAACAGAAGATGAAGGAAGCGCAGCCCAACCCCGTGAGTTCACAGAACCACCCTGATAACAGTTTTGTCTCGCTGTGAAAAACAGAGTTGTGCTAAAGCCCATGTTCTTATAGGCAGGGGGTTTGGGTGGAGTCGAACTGGCCGGTTTGCTGAGTAACCCTGGTTTCATGAACATGGTCAGTAGAAATATATCTTAAATGCTCATCATTAATGCTTACTTATGCTCATCATTAACTCACTGTCACTCTCTTTAGGCATCTAATTTAATGAACAACCCACAAGTGCAACATCTGTGAGTAGACAAAACTTAAGCACAGCATTTGTTCTACACCAAATACACACACTATACATAGTCATGATGAATTCATATGGTTTTGAAAACTCTGATCTTGTCATGTGGTGTAACCATCAAGAAGGAGCAAGTGATAGAGCATTTTATCCTTTTATTTCCTTCAGTTATTTTCACACTTAATTATGCCCGTTAAAATGTATACACAGGGTGTCCGCGGGTCCTTAAAAAGTCTTAAAATGTCTTAAATAACGTTTTCCTAATATAAAGCCTTTAAAAGTCTTAAATTCAGATTCGATGGGTCTTAAATTTTTTTGGTCTCATTACCGCTAAAATATCTTCAGTCTGTGATGGACCTAATGACTGTTTACAATCATTGGACAGCCCGAAGAAGTTTTCTTCCCCGCGGTAAGTTACTGCATCATCAGAGAGAATTGCAGTAAGTTAGCAGAATACAGAATACAAGCTCGCTCTGAGACTCACTCTGTTTGTCTCGAGACTTCAGAACAAATGAGCGTGACAGCACACATAAACTCAGAAGAAAATTCAAAATGTTTAGTTTATTCATAACATGATATAGTTAAATAACACCATGACAAGTGAGCTATTTTGCTCAATATTCTCACGACTCAAAAACAACAACAACAAAATAAACATTCAAAACACCTAACTTACAGAGTGCACACATTACGTGAAGTCTAGTGCGCGTGCGCATTTACAGCGCTCTTTTATGGCATGATTCAGTCTATTAAAATACATTCAGAATGATCACAAATTCAAGACATGGGGGCAGAAAATGTGTACATTTATACAACTTCATCTAGTTAATCAAGTTCACACGGAAGAGTGCCTTTTTTTCTCCAAAGATTACCATATACAAATGTGATTTTTTTTACAACAGTTCAATAAACTATACGTTTTATTAAGACTTACGTTTTAGACCCCATATTGCCTGTTTTTGCACTATTTCGCCAACAAAAATAATTCCAGACAAAGCCACAGTGCTGTTTTGCGTCTCTGAGCAACATGACGGTGTTTCGTTCCTGAATGAATCAACTGTTTAAATCAGGGGTGAACAACCCTGCTCCTGGCCATCGACTGTCCTGCAAAGTTCCGCTCCAACCCTAATCAAACACACCTGAAGCAACTAATTAGGGTCTTCAGGATCACTTAAACATTAAAGGCAGGTGTCTTTGATTAGAGTTGGAGCTAAACTTTGCAGGACAGTCGATCGCCAGGAGCAGGGTTGGGCACCCCTGGTTTAAATGATTCGGTTAATTCGCAATGACTCACTTATTAACAGTGACTTACTGCCACCTACTGGCGGTTTTAATTTCACATTTAAAGTATCTTTTCATTTTTTTAAATTATTTCAAATATCAGTATTCAATGTTTTATGTTTAATATATCAAAACATTCTTTATGCATTGTAAACACATCTAAATGCCACTTCAGGTGCAGCTTATGTCGGGATTGCAAAGATGAATTTTGTTGATACTGATTTCATTTGCTTGGTAACAGCCCAAATGTCTTATTATTCTAATTCACTGATTAAATGTAAGAATTTGACTCAAAATATAATGCACACTTATAGACAAATGGCTTTATGAAGGTAAAATGCCCATAAAAGGTCAAATCTATTTAAACTTATTGGAAAAGATTAATTTCTATCTGACCACCACACAGAATATGAAGAATATCAAAAACTTTAGGAGTCAGCTGTCCACGAAAGTCCTTAAGATACCAGCATGATAACACACTCAATCAGTTGAATGAATGACTCAATACTCACTCATTAAGTGACTTACCGTCACTTACTGGTAGTTCGGTTGAGAAGTTTATTGAAAAGTATGCATTTTTCCCCTCAACATTTCTTATTTGTATACTCATAAATGCATTTAAAACATTAATCTCATAACATTATTTATTGCAGTTGTAATTATTGTTATTTGCAGTGTAAATTATTTATTCTGACTGGTAGCAGCCCTATAGTGTATATTGAATTTATTGATAAATTGTAATAATTTGACATGTAAGATGATGCATACATCTAAAAAGGTTAAAAATAGGCCTTTGTAAAGGTAAATATGCAGATTTAAGTATGTAAAAGCTGATAGAACACTGATGAAAATATTGCTTCAGAATAATTTTTCTCCACCAAAAATCTCAGTGATGCAGTTATTTTGCGGGGATATTTTGTATGGAATATTGTCTGCTGATATGAAAAGTTCACTGTATATCGTTGTAATAAATATAATTTATTACAGCAATGATATTTTGATTTCTTTTTAATTTATACACATTAAATATTGCATATATGTATGTAATAAAATGTGTATTTCCATTACAGGTGTAGGTCTTAAATTTCATATAAGGTGGTATTAAAAAGGTCTTTAAAAGTCTTAAATTTAACTTGTTCATATCTGCAGAAACCCTGATGCAATCTTGTTACTTTCACTGTTAATTTTATTGCTCTATCATATGTTATCTTTAATTTAATAGCGCATTAGAGCTGCCCATTGCAGTGGCTCAATACTGTAATCACAAGATGTTTTCCTGTAATAATGCATGGAACCACTCGTTATACATACATTTTGTAGCAGCGATGAACATATTTTCTGAAATATAAGTCACGGTTTTTAAAAAATCTGACATGTGCTGAGACTTATATTCCAAAGCGACTCATATAATGCAATTAACGTCAAGCAAGCAAAATGCACAACATGCGTGCACATTTGTATTGGTGCAGAATGAGAGAGACCCGCAGTGTTACTCTATCTTTTATAAAGAATATCTCTTTGGATTTGAGACTTTAGTCTTTGCAACTTTGCAGATCTTCTTTATGCACCAAGAGCTTGTAACACTCCAAAGAGAAAGGAAAACTTGAAATCGCATCATATGACCCCTTTAAACTGTGTGAGCATTAAAGACAGAAAAAACCTTAATAAATTGAAAATGGTTCTGATAACATTTGAAAACAGTATTGATGAACATACAGTGCATATTTGAATGCTAAAAATGTATTTTGCTTTGTTTGCGGAGGTGATGTGGGCGTTTACAGGTTCGCACGTCTCACGTGGATGATTACCGTATGAATAGCGCGCGCTGCATGTGGGCGTGATCACATTACAGATAATGAGCTCAGATGGGAAAGACTGGACCTCGTGTTGGTTTCATACGGATTACTTCATCAAAGAATATTTGTTTTAGATAATACTTCCTTCATTTAAAAGTAGACACTTCAAGCTATCCATAGATATGTTTCTCATGTCTGTGTGTGAAGTATTCGCTGAGTTTTGGTTCATTTTAGTGATGTGTTATTTTAAAAGGCATATAAATATATATTTTTTCTTAACACTACATTTGTAAAGTAAGTAACGTAATTATATTGACTTCAGTAACTAATCAAATTACACAAATTTAAAATGTAATGCGTTACATTACTGCGTTACCAGAAAAGTTACTGTGTAACGAGTTATACCCAACTCTGGAGACTCGTATAACCTAGTGCATTTCACACAGGCTTTTATTTTTGCTTTAAATAAAGTGTATGCTTGATGTTTAAAACAAATGTTGTTTTTTGTGAATGCCATTGTAATTTTTTTTTTGTTTTGTTTTGTTTATGATTTAGTTTTTAATTTAAATGATGCGTGTGCTAAAGGAATGAACAGCAATTAAGATCGTGCAACAGAAGTGTGCGTGCTCTCTCTCTCTCTCTCTCCTTACCATCAAGTAACTTTAGTAAATTATGCATTGTTTTACTTACTTGCTTTTGACATATCCGACCGAACTACAAACTTTCCAGTGACATCTGAGAAAGGGATATTCGCTCAACAAGCTCGCTCATCTGTGCCACCTCGCGCTCAATCCACTCAGCGTGCTTTGATTATCAGCTCACTCACATCAGCTATACAGGCGTGAATATTGAATGTTTAACATTATACTAATTACATTTACTTCATAGACATCCTTAATCTCTATAACTCCATTCTACTCTCTGTTGTTCTGTTGTCTGTGTTTCTTTGTCTGGACACAACACTGTTCACACGCTGTGTGATATCGGAACGCTTTAATGAGTACGAGTTCAAGTACAGAAGCGCAGTATCGGGTCTGATACTGATACCATATGTATTTAATAATAAACACTTAAATAAATAAAAAAGTTGAGTTGTACAAACATTTAAATTGCACAGGTTTTATGTTAAGAAATGCCAATTGAACCTCACTTTACCAACGTTTTGATGTTGTGACGATGTCGTCTTGATGTTGTGACTTGTGATTTGTGTTATCAATTAGCAGCAGTTTATATCAGTTGCTTCTGTGCCCATGTAGGATGTCAGGTATGATGTCTGGGGCTTACGGTCCTATGGCAGGAGCCACCTCTCCAGGAGCAGGAGCAGCAGCAGCAGCAACAACAACAACAACAGCTGGAGCAGGAGGTGCAGGTGTTGGTGGCAATGACCTCTCCGGCCTCATACAGGCGTAAGTTTTAACATCACTATCCTGTGATTTTCATAGGTTTCCGATGTCTGGGGCTTACGGTCCTATGGCAGGAGCCACCTCTCCAGGAGCAGGAGCAGCAGCAGCAGCAGCAGCAACAACAACAACAACAGCTGGAGCAGGAGGTGCAGGTGTTGGTGGCAATGACCTCTCCGGCCTCATACAGGCGTAAGTTTTAACATCACTATCCCGTGATTTTCATAGGTTTCTGTTCTACTTCCTAACTGAAAGTTCAAGGTTATATGCAGTGGGGCTGAACTAGTGTTTTTCTGTCACGGGACAGTGGTCAGCAGTTTGCACAGCAAATGCAGCAGCAGAACCCTGAGATTATTGAGCAGCTGAGGAGTCAAATGCGCAGTCGACCTCCCAGTAGTGCTGGCAACGACGAACACTGACACTCCCTATGGTACCACACATCACTCAATTAAAGTTTTGATCTGAACTAATTGACATTTAAAAGACTGGAACATAGCTTTAGGTTTTAGATTTTAAGGCAAGACACTAGAGGCAAAAACATAGTTTTTTCATGCAATGATCAATTTTGAGATTTTTGGACTATTTCGCATTTTTATAATTGTTGTTTCAGAGTAGTGGAATGAAACCATCCAAAATAGACTTAAGTTTTTATTTTATTGCACATTATCTGCTTGAGTGTGTAGATTTAAATTACTATACACATCTTTAAAGTTGCTGTATGTAGAATTGACACTGAGTGGTTGAACTAAGCATTGCAGTCCAAATTCAAAATATTGGAGAGGGTTTTTTTCACCCGGCCCCTCCTCCTCAGACTTGACGCACATGCAGGTTGCCAGATTGATGACACCAACAGGAACGAGTGAACTTGACAATGAATGAAATGAAGTACGCTGCATTTTCCGCCAACTGGCAACACGGGGTGCCGAAATACAATTGGGTAAACTGGCAGTGAGTGGGCTTCACAAACCAAAACGGACATTCCGGCCCAGAACGCAGATTTTCAAAGGAGAATAACTGACTGTAGCATTGTTTTTCAGATAAACAAGTATGTTAACTTAGCATGTTTCTTAAATATCTGCAAACACATTATGGTATTTGTATGCTTTAGTAGAGTCAAAAACTTACATACAGCACCTTTAAAGACCATTTTAAAGGCCGTCAGAATTATCCTCTTCAGTAGCGCTAACGTAAACCAAACTTTGAGTTTTGTTCTTTTCTGTATTCTGAAGGTATTTACAGAAGGGTTTGTTCATGTACTGTTTATGGACTCTTGACAGTATTTTCTCATTTATGTAGTGATAAAAATTCATATCCAAAATCATAAAAGGGTATATTATATATATATTATATTATATTTTGGAAATGTATGCAAATGTGTGCATATTTAATTAGACAATGCCTTGGTTGCAAACTTAACATTTTAGAAAACTTGTAAAAAAAAATTTTTGCAATTCTTAATGTAATCAATCAACCTGGGAAGCATGTTAATCTGTTAGTTAATTTTTTAACTTCATTCACTTGGTGTCTTGTCTTAAGATGTTTTATAGGTATTTTTAATGTTGTTTTTGATATTTAGCTTTACAGATGCATTCAAACAACAGCTTATTTTAAACAGAATATCTGTTTTAAACTAGAACTTAACGTTACCTCTCTCATTTTGTGCAGTTTAACTCTTGACCTGGTGGACCTTTGGAAGATGGGCTACTTTTTTCTTTTTTAAGATATACCTTGTTCCTTCAACTCCAGGGATGAGACTGTTTATTCATCTATAAAAACTGCATGAGTTCACTGCCCCACATTTCCCTACCGGCTGGAAGAGGTCATCAGTGCTCATGCACCCATCATATTTGGGAACTGGACTCAAACAAATGTCTGATCAAATGAAACATCACACTGGGTTAACATTGTATGCTCAAGTAATAATCCATGTTACTGGACCGTGATTAATGAATTGCTGCTACATGGACATAATGCAGATTTGCTGTAACACCTCAGTGATTGGCCTGTCCAATGACAAGTCTCAGTCTGAACTGAAAGGGGTTGACAAGGAACATGTGCAAAACTCAACATTGACAATTAAATGTCAGATTTCAAATAGGACTATTGCAGCTGAAGTTTAATGTTTCCCAACCACTTACCATGCTTGCAAGCAATGAGATTTGTCAGAAGTACCATTACTTAACAAATATTGTTCTTAATTTGTTCTGATCATTTTGGATTAAAGGAAATGGATGTTTTTGTCCATTTTGGAGAACTGATGTATGTGTGATGGTATATTTAACGCGACTTGCCATCCGTAAACATCACTGTCTCAAAACCTAGCGAGCTGACAGCAGTAGCAAAGTTTGAACCATTAAAGCTTATTTTGCCACTTTTAGAGGCAGCGAACATTTTGCAATTCATTATCCGAATTTAAAAAGTGTGACGTTCCAAACGCGCCTATGTTGCCTAACAACGCGAACTATAGGCTGCTGCTCGCTAGTTCTCGAGACAGCCACTGAACAGGTGTCGCAGCCTTCAGCAGCAGGAAGTATCGGCACACCCACGGGTAAAACGCTTCATTTCGTGCATAAGTATATGAATTATCATCTTCTTACATTTCACTGTTTGATGAATCATATTAAACGGCGTATTTAAACCAGTAATATAGAATAAACGCCTTTATGTGCGTGCGGTACTTGTTAGCTTAGCATTTAAGAGCTATAGTAAACAACTCCAGTTTGCATAGAAATTCGTGAAAAACAACAGGCTTGCACGTCTTAATATAAATGTTTTTTTTTTGTCATTAACGAGTTTTCTCTCTCTCAATACATGCACATTATAAAGGCTTTTTTCTACTATGATAGCTAGCAGCTCACCAGAGGTAGCATGCTAATCTGTACACTGACCTCGCCAGTCACCTTACGAACATATAACGCCTCAGAAATGGGTTGTCAGGTGTGAATGAATCCACTGGACATGCCTGACAACAGCTGTCGAACTGATACTGATTTGAAGTTGCTTAAATTGGGATGTTTCTCATATATTAGTTACGATAATTATGAAACACTGTGCTGTGGACTGACGTTTGTGATTTTTGTCCAGGGATGCTGTCCATGACCTGACCTCAGTCGGCCTTAAGAAGAGTGTCTTTGGCTTCAGTGTTTTATTTCAGATACACATGCTTTGTTGAAGTAGGATCACAGCCCATCTCCTCAGTATGGAGATAGCTGTAGCCAAAATCCTGTGCCTGCTGGGGGTGTTTGCCCTGATGTTAGCAGGCATCCTTATTCCTGTGCGGGTGATGCATATGGAGTATGATAAAGTCACGAGGTATAGAAAAGTGGTTGCTTTAAGCAACTGTTTTGGAGGAGGCGTATTCCTGGCCACCTGCTTCAATGCCCTTCTACCAGCAGTTAGGGAAAAGGTATGTTATCAAGCATGGTTTTGGAAAAAGTTCACTCAAAAATAACATTATTTAAAGGGGTCATATGATGTTGCTAAAAAGAACATTATTTTGTGTATTTGGTGTAATGAAATGTGTTTATGCGGTTTAAGGTTAAAAAACACATTATTTTCCACATACTGTACATTGTTTCTCCTCTATGCCCCGCCTTTCTGAAACACGTCGATTTTTACAAAGCTCATCGGTCTGAAAAAGTGAGGTGTGCTCTGATTGGCCAGCTATCCAGTGCATTGTGATTGGCCGAATACCTCAAGCGTGAGACGGAAATGTTACGCCCCTCACCATACTGTGATGCCTGCAGCAACCACATGTGACGACCCTGGGCTGGACTCTGCTTCGTCCACGGTGAAAGCCGATCTGGCGATCCACAGCATGAAGTTGATGTATTTCCTCAGCGACCAGCGCAGATCAGCTCTAGGCATGACGAAGCGGATATCGTCTTCTTTTGGAAGGCCAAACAAAGTAGTTTCACTTTCGCAACGAAACGCACAGCGTCTTCACGACATGGCGTGACGGCAACAATACTACAGCGAGAATAAAAGTTACGCCTTCTTTCTTTGCGTGAACATTTGGGTGGCGTTATGCAAATCTTCCCAGATAGTGATGTAGATATGTGGGGGCGTGTTAGAACGAGCGGTTTTAGGTAACATGGCTGACTCTTAACTTTTATAAAGAATATCTCTTTGGCTTTGAGACTTTAGACTTTGCAACTTTACAGATTTTCTTTATGCACCAAGAGCTTGTAACACTCCGAAGAGAAAGGAAAACTTGAAATCGCATCATATGACCCCTTTAATCATCATCAGGTTTTTCCAAAGCCGTATGATATGCTTTCTTTTGTGGAGCAAACATAGACATTCTGATGAACATCCTGGCTGATTATTTACTAGGTATTATCTGTGTAAAGTGCTAAAATGAACTTTATAACAATAAATAATTGTTTGGTAAAGTTCAGATGGCCTTGTTCAAACTAAATGAAAGCGATGGTTTAAAAGGTTTAAACTAGTATTTTTCTCATACACACACACGTACAGTTTTGCTTCTGAAGACATTCAGGGCATCTGAAACCACATACTGTCTTGAGTAGGTACAACATCTGCATTTGAACTTTGTGAATGTTAAAAAATTATGTTCTATAAAATATGAATTTGGGTGGTATACATGGAATTTGGATGTAGTATATCCGCCATGCTGTTCATACATCTGACAAACTTAGGTTTGCAATACATAGATTTACTTGATTTTCCATACATTTTTTTTTTTTTTAGAAATATCATGTTAAAATGTGAGCATCAGCCAACAGAGCTTTGATCAAGCATTTAAATGTCATCTTACTAAGACATATTATTGTGAGATATTGACAACTGATATTTATATGCGTTTTACATAAGTAGTCTGCTTTACTGTTTTAAAGATCTCATTGTTTTACATTACAAGCTATTAGAATTTCATACTTTTGTTCATATAAATATCAGCAATTGCATCTGATTGCATATTTTTCCTCAGTTTGAGCCTCTAAATAAAATTGAGGTTTTTTTTTTTTTTAGGTGTTCTTGAGAATAAGATCCATATTCTCACTTCATCATACTATATGCACAATAAAAGCCTCATTTATCAAATATGATACTCAACAAGAGAAACACTTTTTTTCTTTTTTTTAAAGATTTTGTCTCACTAGTCTGCTTTACTGTTTTAAAGATCTCATTGTTTTACATTACAAGATATTAGAATTTCATACTTCTGTTCATATAAATATCAGCAATTGCATCTGATTGCATATTTTTCCTCAGTTTGAGCCTCTAAATAAAATTGAGGTGTTTTTTTTTTTTTAGGTGTTCTTGAGAATGAGATCCATATTCTCACTTCATCATACTATATGCACAATAAAAGCCTCATTTATCAAATATGATACTCAACAAGAGAAACACTTTTTTTCTTTTTTTAAAGATTTTGTCTCAAGTTAAATAAACTGTTTTTAATAATAGTCCTGTAGTTTTTACAGGGTTAAGGATTGTATTTATCTGTTATACTAAACTAAAGTCAGGCATACAACCAGTATTACCATCAGGAAGTTCACTGGTAATCAAATTATAGAAGATCTGACTTCTTACCTTTTTGCCTTCAGGTTGATGACGTCCTGAAAACATTACATATCGCCAATCAGTACCCGCTGGCAGAGACGATGATGATGATTGGGTTTTTCCTCACAGTATTTGTGGAGCAGGCCGTGCTCACTTTCCGCAAGGAGAAGCCCTCGTTTATCGACCTGGAGACGTTTAATGCTGGTGGCTCGGCAGCGGGGAGCGACTCGGAGAATGATGCTCCATTCATCGCTCCCGCTCGAGGTTCCAGAGACCACCAGTACCATTCCCATCACCACGGACACTTCAGCCCTTCAGAGCTGATGCACGCTGGTCCATTGAGATTAGCTAGCCTGGTGCTAGCGCTGTCCGCTCACTCTGTCTTTGAGGGTCTCGCTTTGGGCCTTCAGGAAGATGGAGCTAAACTCGGAACCCTCTTCATTGGTGTGGCCATCCACGAGACGCTGGCAGCAGTGGCACTGGGGGTTAATATAGCCAAGGCGGGAATCTCCTTACGGGATGCCAGTAAACTGGCCGTAACAGTGAGCCTAATGATTCCTCTGGGCATCGGGATTGGAATGGGTATTCAGACGGTCCAGCACTTGGCAGAAAGTATTATATCTGTAGTGCTCCAAGGCCTGGCAGCCGGGACGTTCCTCTTCATTACGTTCTTTGAGATCCTCTCACGAGAGCTGGAGGATAAACACGACAGGTTACTGAAGGTGCTGTTTCTTGCACTGGGCTACAGTGTACTTGCAGGGCTCGTCTTCATCAAATGGTAAAAGGGGTTCAAAATGTAAGATTTTCTAAAACTATACTGCTCTTCTAGAGCACCATCTGCCAAACATCGTAACCAAGGGTTTGTGTAAATCTACTGTATAACTTTTGATGTTTTATAGTGCAAGGGTTTTCAATCTTTTTGTTGCCAGTAACCCAAAAATATGATTATTTTTTATTTTATAAACACACACATATATACTAATATTGTCATATTATTAAATTAAAAAAAAAAAATAATAAGCTTTATTATTGTCACTGTACTAAGGCCAGTGACAATAATAAAAATTCTGATGAATTTCAGGTTAAGAGACAAAAATTAAATGTAAAATTATTAAAATATTTACTTTAATTTGTATTTATACGTTTTGTTAGATGTATAAATCTTTAAAACAAAACAAGATTTGTTTGTTATTCCTTACTGTTTAAAATAGCTGCAACTACAATTTTGATTATTGTCATGAATTACATCTTTGAAAAGCATGAGGAAATCATAGTATCACATTTGGTCAATATTAAAAATAGTGTGCTAATAACCATTTTACATTAACGCATTAACTTTGACAACCCCTAAATTTGTTGGATTTTTTTATTTATATATTTTAATTTCAAATTTTCTGCGATCACCATTATCATTTAAACTTCTACACTTGTATGTCTGTCTCAAATCTTGATGTATCTGATGAATTTCAGGTTAAGAGACAGTGTGTACCCAGTAGTTTCACTCCAATCGTTTTTACTCATCCTTTATGTAAATATCATAGTCAATATTTGCCAATATTACAATGACTGTTTTGAAGGATTTGCTTATAGAGAATATTAGCTGAATGCACATGTAATAGGATGTGAATGTTGAATGATTTAGTGAGAACTTTGTGTTGAAATTGGTCAGATATGTTAACATTAAATTGAGTAGTTGAGTGCACAGTTGTTTAATTTACTTGACACAACAGTTTCACTGGTGGTTCTCTATTTGATGTAATCTACGGTTATAGTTGTATGCTTAATTCAGATTGTTCATTGTTACATTAAGCTATATTTGATCTATTTTGTCATGATTTTGACTACTAACCTCAGTTTGAATGTGATGAGGAGTTTGCCTCATAAGCACCATGCTAAGCTTCAGAAGTAAATGAAGAGAATTGTTGAATTTATAAAATCCACTTACAAGCTTATGTGGCACATATTTGAAAATGGCATATGGGTATTGATATTGCCCAGATTGAGCCTCGGGAAATTAAAACTTGACCCTTATGTATCTGAACAATCTTTGTTTTGTATCCTTAATTTAGTTTGACATTTGTGTGTACTTTACAGCTTTATGAAACATTACGGTTACATTGTAAAACATATCCGTCATGTCGAGGGGATTCTTAATAGTGTTTTCATTGTTTAAGTATTTCTGGGCAGTTTCAACAAATCAAGCAACATATGTAAAAGAAAACGAAGAAAAACGTTCTTGGATCTAAGGACTCTTTGCAACCTGAGTTTGCTGCTTTAAGAGATTAACCATACCTTTGTGTTATTTTCTTTTGTATTTATTAATTTGTTTCTAATCATGTATCATTTGATCACTTTATTATTCCATTTAATTATTAATAATAATGATATATTCTCAGTTGATTCATTCATTGATATTGCTTGATTGATTTTGGGTACTGGACAAAACTGGCTATTAACAGGTTTTGGGTATCAGACAAAATGGATATTTTTTCCAACAGGATCTGGCATCCGGGGTTGGATCCAATGACTCGATGTAAGATTTGTCGGTAGGATGTCGGCACTATCTGTCAATCTGTAGCCATTTCCTGTCTGTGCTCTTTTACATGTGTCAATGAGATTTAGTATTTGAGTGTTGCAAAACTCTCCTTTTTGAAATGCATATGGGATTCTGTGTAATTATTAATCAGCTTTAATTTTTTATTTAATAAAGTGATTCTCTTGGTTGTGTGATTTTTGATTCTCTTTACTGTCTGAATAGGTATAGCCTAGTTGGAAGTGTTCCAGATCACCATGTAACCAGTCTGCTCCTTTAACCTGGAGTGTGCTACAAAGCCCCAATCTGACGCACATAAATCCTGACCTATCAGACCCATTAACACTGACTGATTACACACCATTGTCACCTGAAACTGCCTTTTGTCATGACAGGTTTATGGCTGATTGGATTACTGTTATATCCAAGGTTTCATTGACTAGCACACTGTCTCCAGAAAACCTGGCCTTGTTTACAATAACAGTTCATTGATAACAAAATATCACATCAAGCCACTTGCAAACAAACAGTATTAAACTATTCTGTTTCATTCCAGAAGGGGTCCAGAATCCCTAGCAAATGCCACTGAGAGTAACCACAGACATAGTTCATCATATTACCTATGAAAATGGTCCACTAATGTTTAATCATCAGAACAATATACCAAATATTTTAGCATTATAATGCTTAAACACCATTTATGGGGTCTATTTGAAGATTATGGCGTAGATCTGTAAACTTGCAATTCTGAGAAGAAAAGTCCAAATTGTGAGATATCCACAATTGCGAGAAAAAAGTCAGAATTGTGAGATTAAAAAGTAGCAATGATATATACAGTGGTGTGAAAAAGTGTTGGCCTTCCTGATTTCTTATTTTTTGCATGTTTGTCACACTTTAATGTTTCAGATCATCAAAAAATTTAAATATTAGTCAAAGATAACACAAGTAAACACAACATGCAGTTTTTAAATGAAGGTTTTTATTATTAAGGGAAAACAAAATCCAAAACTACATGGCCCTGTGTGAAGAAGTGTTTGCCCCCCTGTTAAAACTGGTTTATCACACCTGAGTTAAATTTCTCTAGCCACACCCAGGCCTGATTACTGATTACCTGATTACTCTTAAATAGGACCTGCCTGACAAAATGAAGTAGACCAAAAGATCATCAAAAGCTAGACATCATGCCGGGATCCAAAGAAATGCAGAAACAAATGAGACCGAAAGTAATTGAGATCTATCAGTCTGGAAAAGGTTATAAAGCCATTTCTAAAGCTTTGGGACTCCAGCGAACCACAATGAGAGCCATTATTCACAAATGGCAAAAACATGGAACAGCGGAGAACCTTCCCAGGAGTGGCCGGCCAACCAAAATTACCCCAAGAGCACAGCGACGACTCATCCAAAGTTTGATGATCTGAAACATTAAAGTGTGACAAACATGCAAAAAAAATAAGAAATCAGGAAGGGGGCCAACACTTTTCCACACCACTGTGTATATAATTTTTATTTTTTTTTATTCCATGGAGGAAACAAACTGAATTTCAAAATGCAAACTCCGAATTCTGAGGAAAAAAGATTTTGAAATATAAATTCGGAATTGCAAAGGGGAAAAAAGTGAATTCTGATTTTTAAAAAAAAAAAATTTGTACTGCGAGGTTTATCTTTTTTTTTTTTATTATTTAATTTTTAATTATTTTTTTTTGCCTTCAGAATTATAGAAACCATGTCTGAACAGTGAGATAGGCCTATACAATCTCATTTAATAGCTATATTTCTATTTAATTTCCGTAGCAAAATTAACTTCCATATTGAAACAAATCCGTGAATGAATTTAAATCTTTTTAGTGAACTGATTCGAGTAACTAGCCACCTTATTTTTCCCATAAGAGAGGGTGCGGCCAATTCTAAATGTTATGGCTCTGGCCTCAGGTCTCATTCACGTCCAGCTATTTTTAGCTGTACAAAACAGCTCATTTATATTGCAAATTGGTGTGTCTTACCATATTATTTTAATGTATTATCTTAATTATGAACACACTGGTTTGTAGTGCCAACAGTTTTACTGTTTACTGCATGTTGTTATTCTTCTAGTTATTTCCCCACAGCAGCTAATGAACTGAAAGTCTTCCTCATTGAAGAATAAGGTGGATATGAAAACTCAAAACTCTCACCACTAATGATCACACATTTAAGTGTGAATAAAAGTATATCAAATGAATAATAAATTGGGTGAAAATTAGTTAGAATCTGTGTTTATGTACACCAGTCTAGATCTATTTTTACTCTAGCTCTGAACAGGAGATCGCAGCACTGGCAATGCTAAGGTCATGGGTTTGACTAGGAATGCATGAACTGATAAAATGTGTACCTTGAATGCAATGTAAGTCAAGGTGTGTGTTAAACGCAAAAATGGAAAAGGAAACAGAAAGGCTAAGCACTATGCACTATCAATGGATCACGCTGGTGATGGTCAATGCCTACTCAAGTCAAACCTGGGAAATCCCTTTAACCATAAGACAGGCTGTATCAAGAGTAGGCTACTCAACTTTAATAAACACGACAAATTCACCTGTGCCAACCTATTCTCCAGAGAAAAAATTTGTGCTTAAGGGATGCTCTCAATTGTAATGAGCTCATGTGAATGCACGTGCTGACTTTCCTTGTGGCTTTAGAGACAGATCACCTGTCCTCACTATGGATTAGGTTCGGAAACAATGCAGTGCATTACTATTTCACCCTTTGCTACAGTAGTAAATACACAAAAAGTGGAGGTTATCTGACATCACTTCATACCAAAAACCCCAGAAGTGTGGCAGAGCCACTGACAACAGGGAAGTGTTAGATTTTATTACTCCATCCTAATCCTCTAAGCCTCCTAATTCCCCCCGACCGTGGTCTTGAGATGCTGGATGGATGCATGATGGCTTAGTCCCTCATTAGAAAAGGTTACGCTTTGCCCTCCTGCGTTACTCGCAGCGACTCGCCATGGAGGAGCTACTGATACCCACAGATGCCGAAGAGGCGCCTCCGGAGCCTGGCATCTTCTTCTCTCCAGCGGGACCGGCTAAAACCCAGCTGGAGAGAATGAAGGACTTCATGGCAAGCACGTTCTCGGCCAGCGTCAGAAAGTATGTGAAGGACTACATCAGGAAAAACGGGCTGCTGACGCTCTCGGTTCTAGCCGTGATCACAGGATGCGTCCTGGGCTTCACGCTGAGGGGTCTGGACCTCTCCACACAGGTAAGGCTTATTAAACGTGGATTTTAGAGAAATAAATGACTGTGGACATGTTACTGAAAATGTACACAAGGAAGGAATTATGGAAATGTACACAAGTTGTTGTAGTGATGCATTTTAATAGCCTAGGTCCCCATCAAACATATTATCTATTTCTGAAATGGTCAAAATGTTTTGTCATGCTTTTAATCAGTAAAACACAAATTTAGAACATATGTAGAACTAATGTTAATTAGATATTTGTAGACAATAAATGCTTCTTAGATGAAGATCTTATCTTGGAGATGTATGTGTCCTGTCCTGTCTAAAACTTTGGTGTCAAATACTAGCTATAGTCACTTTGTGTCTTCATAAATTATGTAAGATTTATGTTTTGAATATGGCAGTCAGATAGTGGATGGAAAGCGAAGTATGTCATGCTGTGTGTCAGAGCTCTTCCTATCTATCAGCTTCAACAATTTTATTTCAGTTTTGAACAGTCTCTGTGTGACACTGAAGACTGGAGTAATGATACTGATAATTCAGCTTTGCATCACAGGAATAAATTATATATTTTAAGTATATTAAGACCGTTATTTTAAACTGCAAAAATATTTCACAATATTATTAGTTTTTATTTGGTGCTTTGATAAAATTAATGCAGCCATGATGAGCAGAAGAAACTTCTTTAAAAAACAATAAAAATCCTACTGATCCCAAACTTTTGAGCGGCAGTATATATGCCAATTTAAGGAATATTTCCTGTTGTACTGGGTTTTAACTGAAATAAATTGAGATTATTTGTATTTTTGTTGTTGTTTAGAAATCACTACTGAACCCAGGTCACGTGATCATAAACCCCAGAAATAATAAATACTATTATAACTATGTTGTGATGGGATGAGGCATGTAGGTTTGAATGTCAAGAGGTACTTAAGGACATCTGTGCTCAGTGATCTAATCCCAGACAGACAGCAGTCCAGCTGAGACAAATGGAGGTTGACGTGAGAGACAGTCTCGCTGCCCGTGACGCCTGACCCCTGACCCAGCTGAACAGCAGAGCAAATGGCAACAGTCAGTCAGGGGAAGTAGCTCAGATGGGCTGCTCTCAGATAGCAAATTCATCCGGCCTTTTTGTGGATAGGCTATATGCAGTTATATTAATGCATTACATTAAGCATCAGTACTATTACTCATACTTAAACATAGCCTAATCATAATTTTATTAACACACTTTTAAGAACAAATCTTAAATTCTGGCATGAGGAGAGGTGTGCTATATTAGGGATTCACCGATGTATCGGCCAATAATTCGGCCGATAAAAGCAATTATCTACTAGACATTAACGCAATGTCACTTTAAAAATAGCGCAGGCTCTGTTTGACCCTGTGAGAATCACCGGTATCCGGTAGGCCTCACGTGGCCAGGCTTACCGCGAGTTTTCCCGTCACCAAATGTTGAACTGAAATAAATTGAGATTATTTGTATTTTTGTTGTTGTTTAGAAATCACTACTGAACCCAGGTCACGTGATCATAAACCCCAGAAATAATAAATACTATTATAACTATGTTGTGATGGGATGAGGCATGTAGGTTTGAATGTCAAGAGGTACTTAAGGACATCTGTGCTCAGTGAGCTAATCCCAGACAGGCAGCAGTCCAGCTGAGACAAATGGAGGTTGACGTGAGAGACAGTCTCGCTGCCCGTGACGCCTGACCCCTGACCCAGCTGAACAGCAGAGCAAATGGCAACAGTCAGTCAGGGGAAGTAGCTCAGATGGGCTGCTCTCAGATAGCAAATTCATCCGGCCTTGCTGATAGGCTATATGCAGTTATATTAATGCATTACATTAAGCATCAGTACTATTACTCATACTTAAACATAGCCTAATCATAATTTTATTAACACACTTTTAAGAACAAATCTTAAATTCTGGCATGAGGAGAGGTGTGCTATATTAGGGATTCACCGATGTATCGGCCAATAATTCGGCCGATAAAAGCAATTATCTACTAGACATTAACGCAATGTCACTTTAAAAATAGCGCAGGCTCTGTTTGACCCTGTGAGAATCACCGGTATCCGGTAGGCCTCACGTGGCCAGGCTTACCGCGAGTTTTCCCGTCACCAAATGTTGTTCGCCTCCCATCCAGTCTACTTGCTAAGAGGTTTGTGCTTTGTTACTTCTGATAAGAAACTTACCAATTCTAATGCTAAATTCAAACAATAAATGCCATTTTAACACATTTAAATGTGGCATAACAGATCGCTGTAGCGCCTCAGAAACGCCAGTCATATCATAAGTTATAGCGCGAAATAAACATGAATGAACATAAGAACAGAAGGTAGGCCTATGTCGAAAGGTACAATACAACTTATCGGAATGTATCATGTCTCAAGTAATCACTCCATCAATGTTTCAGCTGCAGAAAGACGTCAATAAAACAGCTTTTGATCTGTTACTTGAACTTTGCATTCACCTTGCAAGTGTTATGTGTTCACAGCTGGTTAGTTAAAAATAAATAAATAAATAAAACACTTGAGAGTTTTACTGTTAATTACATATGAATGTTTAAATCTGTCACAATGACAAATTCTTATGAAAACATGTGCAATTGAGTTGTATACCAACATTTCAGTTTTTATTTGAGTACTTGTGATTATAATAATATAAACCTTTAATTTTATAGTAATCTACCAAATGAGAGGGTTTTTCCCCCCTTAGGAAGAGCAAACAATTGGTATTGACAGTAATACTTTGAAATATTACAGTATTAGCCTACAATTTAAAATAATTGTTTTTCATTTTAATATTTTTTTAATTTAATTTATTTATTTGATGGCAAAGCTGAATTTTCAGCATCATTTCTCTAGTCTTAAGTGTCACATGATCCTTCAGAAATTATTCTAAAATGCTGATTTGCTGCTCAAGAAGCATTTCTGATTATTATCAATGTTAAACACTACAGTGTGATACACTACTATTTAGATTTGGTCATAGAATCTAGTGCTCACTGCAGACACAAACGACATCCAGCTCCCCAATGGGTGGAGTTAATCATTCCAAACTTCCATTCCAAACTCCATTATTTTTTTTTAAATATGACAAAATATATCATGTGGTAGTAAAACTGGATGGCATTTCAGCCGGTGTTACCAACATTAATTCTTTTTTTTTCTACACTGAAATGTTGAAATTGTGCAAAATTGCTTATAATCTGAAAAGCTCTTTCTCTGTTTTTGTAATCAGGCAAAAATATATTTCTCCTTTCCTGGTGAGCTGCTCATGCGGATACTTAAAATGTTGATTCTTCCCCTAATCACTTCCAGGTGGAGATTTGCCTCATTCTCATCTTTATATTTGATACAAACATTTTTGTCTTACATAAAGATTGTGTAAATATCTCCTCATATCAACTCGTACTGTCTGCCTGTAGTTTAATGTCTGGACTGTCGTCTATGGAGTCGAAGGCCTGCTGCAGGATGGGGGTGCTGACGGTCACCTACTACCTTTGGACCACATTCATCGCAGTAGTGGTCGGCATTGTACTCGTTCTTATCATCAAACCTGGCTATGGGACACACACGGAGAGCAGTAGACTGGGAGGTGGACAAGTCATAACGTCTGCAGATGCACTGCTGGATCTGGTCAGGTATGACTGTCCAAAAAAAATTGGTCAAGTAGCAACAACATTCTTGTAGGTCTTGAACTAACATTTATATCAGCCAAGCAGATTTTAGGAGTAGGCCTAGATATGGGGTTAAAGGCTTGGACAACCTCCTAATCAACCTATAGTGTTCTGTTTCAGTACTGCTGATCCAGGAACATGTACTACTTGGAAAATGGGAAAGTTCACAAATATGAACAGTTCTGTTCTGATATAGTTTCACACCAGTATGACTTTTTTTGTGACACAGAAAGAGAAAGTTTTTCCATGCAGTTACAAAGCATGGGGCATTCAGGCTTAAAAAATGACACAAAAAAGCATTAGAAGTATTAAAAGGCATATGAATTATGCTAGTATATCTTCTGTCTTCTGAAGCCATTCAATGGCTTTGTGTGAGGAACCGAATCAAATTCGCACTAGCTTTCCTTAGCATGTTCATGATTTGTGGTTGAATTGTTCTTTGAGTTAGATCTTTTCAAAAATCCGGTTCACAAAATCAGTCTAAATGAACCTCAACAGTCTGTTCTTCACACAAAGCTATTGTATTGCTTCAGAAGAATGTATTATAATATGAGTGTGCTATATATAAAAGGAAAATCATGTACCAGTTTTAAGGTGTTTTTACACAGAAGAAAAACAGTTGGAATGGCATGAGGGTGAGTAAATGATGATAGTGTTTTCATGTTTGGGTGAACTTCTTTAATATCAGCATTTTTATTACTAAAATACGCTTTTGAGGTAATTTTCTCCTCATTTTGATAGACATGTTCATAAGTCCCTCAAAACACATCAAATGTGTCTCTTGGACACTGTAAGTGCCATTCATAGGAAGAGTTGCCCATGTCTGGGGATTTTAAGCCATCCCATACAGTGCAATCCTATTAAAGCAGTGATTATGGTATTTTTAGTAATCTGCACAAAGGGCCAAGTAAGAAGAGCAGGACCCTCCCATTCCCCTCTGCCCATAAACACAGCAAGCTTCTGTTGGTCTTGTGCTGCTATACTTGATAATAGCTGGCCTAAGTGTTCACGTCTCCAGGGTGGACGCCATATCATAAAGTATAGATGTGGTGTAATATAATATTCATAAAAAAAAAGTTAATGAATTGGCATCATATGCTTTAAATATGGCCAGTTGCTCTACACTTTTACACTTATACTTTATTTCCATCCGCAGGAATATGATCCCCTCCAATCTCATTGAAGCCACATTTCAGCAAGTGAGTAAACAGACACCTGTCAGCTGTGTTTGTACTACCAGCATGAATAATACCTGTCAAATTGTATTGCTCAATTGAAGTATGTTATTTAAATGTGAGTTTGGCAAGCAGTTTTTGAAATTTCTGTATTGCCTCGTTCATGTAGGTTTTGCATTCTCAAAATAGTTACCTGGAGACAATCCCATACATGTTATTTATTATTCTCAAATAGTGTTAAAATCAAGGTTGGTCCCAGCCAATGCGCATGCACAGTCCTAAACATGCGTCTCAGGACACTGACTTTGGTTCCATTTGACTTTCTATGGAACCATCAGTTGTAGTGATCCGATGACTTTACCATCACATTGACAAATGACTCTTTTATTTAGAAGGCGGGACTTATTCCACCATAGTGCATAAGTGCCCGCCCACTTTTTCAGCAGTATTGGTTCTATATTTTTTATCTATATTTCCCATGAAGCATTGCGAATTAGTTCAATTTAAAAAACATATATATATAAAACTATGAATTTAAAGCTGTTGATTGTATCTATAGAACCTATATTTTTAAAGGTTTTTGCCAAATATGCAATATGTACTTTGTATATATTCACACTCACAACCACCAACACACACACACACACACACACAAATATTTAACTATTCTCATAGCGTATGTAGACTTGCGGTGATTCATGGGAGTGGGCAGGGCTAAGGAACTCGTTTGGTGGGCTGCGACTCTCTAGTTGGTGGAATTTTCTGTACAGCATCATGGGTAATGAAGCTGTAATTCCACTATTAAACATGATTATTGTGAACAATTGCTTTCCCAAAAGCATATGCAATCAATTAATAACCTCAGAGCTGATAACAGGTCTGTTCTTAACAGTGTTGGGGAAAGTTACTTTTAATAGTAATACATTACAATATTGCTTTACTCCATAAAACAAATTGCATTACTTTTTATGGAAAGTAAGGAATTACGTTACTTTTGCATTACTTTTTGTCACCTGGTCTGGGCTTGCTTATTTGTTTTTTAATAAAAATAAACTGAAAAGTTATATTTTGGGCAACTGTAAAGGCCCTTTTACTCCAAAAGTGAAATTAATAAGTCTCAGGCTGAAGGAAGTGACTCTGTCTCTGCACCTCACTCCCAATTTCTCTCAACACCGGGACATGAAATGTGTCAGTGAATAAATAGGGAAACAAAGTAACTTGTGTTACTTATTTGAAAAAGTAACTCAGATATTCCATTGTAAATTTAAAAGTAATGCGTTGAAAAAAGTAATCTGATTATGTAACTAGCGTTACTTGTAATGCTTTACCCCCAACACTGGTCCTTAAAGATTTATCAGTTACTTTTAAAAATCATTATCTCATTGGAGAATTTTTTTTTCACTTCCGGAATTCGACTGTTGCACTCTATTGCATTGCACTGTCTCCAATTCATAGTAATGTGAGTAAACCATTTTGTGTATAAATACACAGTCTTTGACGATACCTCAAATCATGAGGTTTATTGTCGACTTTCACCTGGTGGACAATAAAATCCATTAGACTTGCATTGTAGGATCAGGATAGAACATTGTTATAACCAGATTTATAAAAGCAAAAACCACTCACAATTTCTTAAAGTGCCCCTATTATGCCATTTCCAATATTGCCTTTCATGCAGTGTGTAATGTAGCTGTATGCGAATGTAACGATCAGCAAAGTTGCAAAGCCGAAAGTGCATGATAAATAAAGTTATTGTCTCCCAAAATAAAGAATCGTCTCTCTACAGCCTAAACGAGTCGTTAGTAATTCGAATCCCATTTGGGTAACACATTTGCATAATTCCCGCCTATGTTCTACGTTGGCCGACACACAAACACTAATTTTATCGACGACTGCTTCTCGGGGAGTTAAAAAAAAAATCTCGGGGAGTTCAACGAGGGATTCACTAAACGCTTGCTCTTGAAAGATGGCTCAGTACCCTGATTGTTTGGACCAGCTGGCTCCACTGAATTACAAGTATGATAAATAATAGATGTATATATTTTCTATCGAGCATTCAAAATACGGAACTATGGCAATGGGCCTATTGTTTCCGACACTCGCTGTACGCTGTAGACCAGTCACAACAGACTGGGCCATCTGACCAATCAGAGCAGAGTAGGCTCACGGAAAGGAGGGGTTTAGAGAGACTGAATCTTAGAACTGCTTTGAACGAATCGTTTGAGAAAATGAAATGAGGTGATATTAAATACATATTTTGAGAAAACGAAAGCATTTTTTGACCTTGCATGCATGTAATCCTATTGTAGGAGACTCCCAAAACAATATTAGAAACCTTAAAAATGGCATAATAGGGGCACTTTAAGAACATGTAAAACCTAGCTTTGCATAATCAGCACACGTTTTTTTCAGTTTAACACTGTAAAGCTGCTTTGACACAATCTGTATTGTATAAAGTGCTATATAAATAAAGGTGACTTGAGTTGACTTTTATATTTTGTTGTTTCAGTATAAGACAGACATTGTTCCAATCATAAAAGTGAACACAGTGAACACAGGACGCCCACATTTTGTCTACTTGATGCCTGATGAAGACAATCCAAAGGGTCGGTCGGTGCTGTTGGAGCTAACGCCACCTCCAGACATCGAGTATAAAACCCGACCAAGCCACAGTCAGCAGATGAACGTACTCGGCATTGTTATTTTCTCAGCCACAATGGGTAAAACATCTGCCTTCACCTAATGAGGCATCTTTACTAAGTAAAATCATGATCAAATGCATAACTATAAAAAGCACTTTTCATTTAGGTCTCTTACTTGGTAAAATGGGCGAACGGGGAGTTCCTCTGGTGAACGTTTGCCAGTGCATCAATGAGTGTGTGATGAAGATCATTAATGCGGCTGTATGGTAAGAGAAGAAGCACTGGTGTGAACATAGTCATACTCAAAAATCTGGCAATCAAAACTATCATCTCATTTAGGGGTTTTAAAGGAGCAGTTCCATGCAAAAACTGTTTGTTGTTGAAATGAAGATCAGGAATTAGTATTTACAGAATACTTGGCCAGGATTGGCCATTGAATGGGCTCAGATACCATTAGCTGAGGATCTGAGTGGAAGTTTCCAGCATGCAACTGGCACGGGCATAACGGCTGTAAGCATGAAGGTGTTAAAGCCATGCTGTCATTCAGCACACGCAGGGATTATGGATCACCTGCGTTTAAGAGCTGTCACACACTTCAACATGATGCTAGGTAGTGTGGGGCTAACAACGCTGTCACCCCATGTGTCACACTCCAAAAAATATTTAGGCCTAAATTGAAAATTTATCCTTTTGAATTGCAGATAAAATTTCCATCCATTTGTATTACACAGTTTTAAAGGGGTCATATGATTTTGCTAAAAAGAACATTATTTTGTGTATTTGGTGTAATGAAATGTGTTTATGCGGTTTAAGGTTAAAAAACACATTATTTTCCACATACTGTACATTATTGTTTCTCCTCTATGCCCCGCCTTTCTGAAATGCGTCGATTTTTACAAAGCTCACCAGTCTGAAAAGTGAGGTGTGCTGTGATTGGCCAGCTATCCAATGCGTTATGATTGGCCGAATACCTCAAGCGTGTGACGGAAGTGTTACGCCCCTTACCATATTGTGATGCCGTGTCCCGGAGCGATGAGACAAAAACATTAAAACCCATTATAAATGAGGCATTTGTTGCATCCAATCTGTATGACATTCTACAGAACAGAAAAGAGATTTTGAAGAATTATTGAACTGTTTTTGTCCATACAATTAAAGTGTTCCACAAAAGAAAGGTTTGAAATTAATGAGGGTTAGTAAATAATGACGGAATTTACATTTTTGGGTGAACTATCCCTTTAATGTGCCAAATTAATGACAGGACAGCACTGTCGAAGACGAAGTCTTGCTCATAATCACATATAATAGTCCTCAATATGACTGAAGAATTTGAAGAATCACATTCTTGAGAATCATATGATTAATTCCTACCATACTCTTTAACTTCTCTGTATTTCTCAACAGGTATTTTCCTTTTGGGATCATCTTCCTGGTGGCTGGCAAAATCCTGGATATGAATGATCCCTCCACACTTGGGAAGAAGCTGGGCTGGTACGGGGTGACGGTCATGGCAGGCCTGTTTGTGCACGGCCTCATCTTGCTTCCATTCTTTTATTTCATTCTGACATGGAAAAATCCTTTCACATACATCAGAGGGCTTCTGCAAGCCATGGTCATTGCCCTCGCCACGTCATCCAGGTAAAATGTGTAAATGGCTTGTCCCCTCTCCATTAAATTAAGCAGAAACATGCATTGACTTCATGACCTTGTAAGTGTGATATTCTCTCTTTTTCACAGTTCTGCAACGCTGCCCATTACAATGAAATGTTTGTTGGAGAACTGCCGAGTGGACAGGCAGATTGCCCGGTTTGTGCTGCCAGTGGGAGCCACCATTAACATGGATGGAACGGCACTTTATGAAGCAGTCGCTGCTATTTTTATTGCCCAGGTCAATGACTACGAACTGGATTTCGGACAGTTGGTCACCATCAGGTACTTACAGACAGGCAAAGATGTAACCAAATATAGCCAGATTTAGTGGTCGACCGGACCGATATATCGGAACTTTTATTTTGACAGTGCTCAGAACACCAGCACCTGTGCACACAGAGCACCTGTTCTCTGTCTTCATTAGTTTACTGTCTCTGTTTAACAGTTCTAATAAATTATTACACAGAACAAAGTTAGTAAAGGGCATCCGGAAACAGATAGCATTTTCTTTTCTATTAATAGTAACAAAGACGTTCTCATCAAACGTCAGCGTTCACCAAATGCGCATTTCATTTAAACAAATCTTTGAATAGCCTATCTAATGAACGTTTAATTTCACCAAGTTACAAACTTTGTCGAATTCAGCTCTGAAAAGTGTGCATTTGTCGACTGCATAAAAACAACTGCTGGTTACAGTGTTTACTTCCTTTTTATTCATATTTTAACAATTTCTTTATTTGTGTAAAATACTATAGTAGAATTACAGAATCAAGAATTTGCCCTCTAAATAAATCTCTTTATTTTACAGGATAGTTTTTTTTAATCAAGTAAATATGTTTTATATATTTTTTCATTTTCAAAATATATAATTTAGTAAATATTATGTCAAATAAATATAAATTTCAGCAATTAGTATGCATGTGTTTTTACTATATTTAAATTAATAGTGATATATATATGAAGAATTCAGATGCAAAAGTCTCTTAAGTGCCATTTCAAATTTTCTTCTAAAATTAGCATTTTTGTCAGGCTCCTATGTTTATTGAACATAGAAGAACCTATTCATTGCCATTAAAGTGAAATTACTGAACTTACACATAGGAGCGTGAGAAAATGCTCATTTTAGAAGAAAATTTCAAATGGCGTTAAATATATGAGTGTCACAGCAAAGGGTCTGAATACTTAGGACCATGTGATATTTCAGTTTTTCTTTTTTAATAAATCTGCAAAAATGTCAACAATTCTGTGTTTTTCTGTCAATATGGGGTGCTGTGTGTACATTAATGAGGAAAAAAAATTAACAAATGATTTTAGCAAATGGCTGCAATATAACAAAGAGTGAAAAATTTAAGGGGGTCTGAATACTTTCCGTACCCACTGTATATATATAGGCTTTATAATGGCCATCGGCCACCCTGCTCTCTAAGATTTTGGCATTGACCATCAAAAAAAATCCATATTGTTTGACCACTAGTCAGAATTGGGAAACTAAATGAAAATTTAAGAATCATCCATTTTGATCTACCACTATTCTGGATATTGGAGGGAGGACATCCCTGGACATCCCATTTTGTGCAAACTCAGTTTTAATAGGAAACTAGATCAACTCATCTAGCATGATCAGTTCCATCAGGAATTGGGTAAAATCATAATAATCATACTATTCTCATCTCCTCCAGTATAACAGCAACTGCTGCCAGCATAGGTGCTGCAGGAATCCCGGTCCCTGAAGCCTTAATGGTATTTATGAATTATTCTCAATGTTTATAAAAAAATACTCTTAATCTTGAAAATGTATTTAAAACCATTTTTCTTTTTTTTAACTCTAGATTTTTTTTCTTTGTTGTGGACAGTCTAACATGTCATTGACCCATTTACAAGTTTGTTATACAAGTCAAAGGCTTTTGTAGCATCATGCCTAAACTTTAGTTAATCTCAAAATACCACAGGCTTATTGATGATATGTGACCTTCTTTTTGTCAGGCTAAAGCAAATGGAGCTGCACAGGACAGCCAGACTGCTCAAAACATGGAGAATGTGCCTTTAACTAAAGTACCACTGCTGGGCGGCAAAGACTGTATATTGGAGGTGGTTGGTGACACTGTTTTTGAACGACCCACGGTCTACTACAATATATGTCAGGTCTGAGTCACCAGACGGATGCCTTACACATATCCAGGAACTTCCTTTCTACCACTGTGCCACAAAGAAGTACTGAACAAACACATTCTCTGGTTCTTCCATCTCTGCTTTTTAAAACGGACTAATATTGGCTGTTTTGCACAGCTTAATACATTTAGAATACATCCTATTCAAGGGAAATGCTTCTATTTACAAGGACAGGACTGAAAAAGTTATTTTATTTTTTTGGCCTCTTTTGCTGGAGGTAGGCTACAAAAGTTATTGCATGCTGGCATGCATTCAGGAATTTTGTCCTTCAGGTTCATGCTGATGTTACGGTCAAAATACGATCCAGAACTGCGATGACATCCTTCAACAACATCTTAATCTCTGATAGGGAAGGAAACTGAGTGACATTTCAAAATGCACAGTCAAAAGCCAATTATCCAGCATCACATGCAACAACACGGGTGACTGATTTGCAAATGTTATTTATTTTTTAAACATCTGCATTATTGTATTTTTGTGTAATGAACTTGCAAAACGTTTGTAATAAACAATATATATATATATATATATGAGATACAAAAATGGATGTAATGTTTGCACAGTGATGTTATGAGAAACGGCACGCACCTGAGGACAGATGGTTAGAGCGTTAACATCGGATTTAGTTTAGAAGAAAACAAGGAGTGCTTACGCCTAATTAGATAGAGCTGCTTGCATCAGGTTTAAAAGATCAGGATGGTCAGCCCAAAGAACATTAATGACAAATTAGCCATTCAGAGGTTATGACCACTGAAACTAATTCAGCAGGGACAAAACAGATGACCATGTTCCAAAGCACAGCTGACCCAATTATTAAGGCCTTAATCCTAATCGCATTCAATTTTCAATGTATTTTTTGTAACAAATGTTTACAAAGTATTTCAGGGTTTCTGCAGTTTTTTTAAAGGTAAGTTTAAGACTATCTAAAGACCTTTTCAAGACCAAGGAAAATTAAAGGTAAAGTGTAAATGTCTAAGGAGCAGAAGATGCACATTAGCAACCAGTGTTGTGCAAGTTACTCTGAAAATGTAATCAAATTACTGATTTAACCCAGTAACCACGTTACTGTTCTGATTACTTTTTTCAAAAGTAATTAGTTACATTACTAGTTACGTTACTTTTTTCTGCATGAAATTTATGAGATCCCAGCATACACGCTCCCGATTAATATTTGTTATTAAAGCATTAACATTCACAGAACTCTGTTATTTTTAACTAAAGCGAGCGGCTGGCACTTGACTCGACAGTGCGTGTGCTACATCCTTTTTACAATCTCTAGATTATAAAACACTGCATTCCGTCAGCAATGTAACGCGGCAGTAACGTAGACACCTCGGCTTGAAACTATACTCTAATTACTATTTTGAAAATTATAACGCGTTAAATTACTCCGTTACTAAAAAGTAATCAAATTACAGTAACGCGTTACTGCCCAACACTGTTGGCACCACTTCAAAGCTTGAAAATACACGTTCCAACAGAGCTCCTTTACTTAAACATGGAAATAACTTTTACTGTACCTTCTGATCACACTGCAATAAGCGATGTTCATCCTTAGTATTTTTGTCGTTTTCCAGTCTAAAGACTCTTAAACCATGATATACTGACAAGCAAAATGAAACAAGTTTTGTTTTCTGATCAAAATGAAGTGAGTTTGAGTAAAACAAGAACCAATATCTGCCAATGGGCTCAGAAAAATGTACTCAATTCCAAAGAAAAAATACTTTTCATTGCCCATCGACAGATATTTGTCCTTGTTTTAGTATAAACTAGAAGAAAGCAAGACAATATACTTAATTTGCATTTTAAATAAATATAACATGATTCAAGGATTAGATATTTGTACTGGAAAACGAGACAAAATATATTAATTTTTGCAGTGCAAAAACATTTGCAACATTTAATGCCATAACTTCATGAATTTAAGACCTTTTGCTCTGATTTGAAACTTATTAATTTGTGAAAGGGTGAATTAGGATTTTTGGGACCCACAGAAACCCTGTATTTGCACATGCAAAAATAAGGGATATTAAATTTTAAAGCAAGCCATTAAAATACTTCACCTAAATAGAACGCTAACAACTGAACAGGAAACAGAGAAAGTATGCAGTGGTAATGATTGTTGCAGTCAAACTGGAGCTGCAAGGGGCACTATGGGTCTGAATTCAGAATAACTTTGATACTATTGCTGACAATTTTTCTCTGGTAAAAATTTATTGATAATTTGTCTGCAGACTGTACAGTGAGTCTGACAGACTGTCAATGAAACAGTTTAACCGCATGACTGCTAGTGTAGCTTTGTGTTAACTTTTGTAACCAACAGCTTTTGCAAACGCACTATTTTACTGTAATCAATTTAAAGAGTTCACAGGACTTGTGCACAAGATTCCTAAAAAGAAACATTCTTTTACTCCACAAGTCGAATCAAATTCTTTTTCCAAGTCTGTTCATCTATACTTAAACATGACAAAACTCAACACATGAATGTAAATTAGATAATGTAGTATGTAAGGTTTGGCGAAGATAATCAGCAAATGAAAGCAGATTAATTCTTCAAAATTGGCCCATTATAAACACACATTAAGCTAACTGGAAGTCTTTAACTATTAACTCTTGAAATATATTTTAAATCATGAAAAGTAACAATACATGAAAGTAACAATTTTTTTTTACAACAAAACAATGGCATTTATTTGAATGAAAGACATGGAACATCTTGCTACAGGACTTTAGGTCACACTACCAGTAAAGACCCAAAGCATGATGTGTACAATTACCAACATCCAACTTACCGACAAATGAACATGCACACAAGTATAGTGCTGATCTGCAAACCGGATGTTTACTTGTACCGTGTGATATCTAGAGAACAATTAAATACAATTCTTCACCTTAGTGTGGCTTTACATGACAAGGTCTCAAAAAGCAGTTTCAAATTTCACGTTAAAATGTACAAAGCTGCATTTAGGATTGACTAAGTACAGAATAAACACTACATTAAAATGCACTATTAATGTAAATTCAGCAAACACCGCAAGCAAATGTGTAATTCTAGACTGACAACTTTCAGACATGTGCCTACAACTCTGCTCCTATCAGACTCAAATTCATCCAGAAACGTCCCAGACCTTTAACACGATGTGGGGAGTGAATTCAATGCCGCTTAAAAAGATCATGAAAAAAATATTTTAAAATGCTCCTTCCAAATAAAACAAGACAAAACACAAAAAGAAACATGCTGTTAAATGCAAAACAAACTTTAATATCAAACAAAAGAACTTGATTTAAAAAACAAATGCAAATTGCAGTGGGGGGGGACAAAAAAAAAAGACATCCTAGATGACAACACTTGCAGTCTTAGATTTAACTTCCAAACAGGAGAACTAAAACTTAAAGGCATATGCTTTACACTCCGAGTTCTTTGGTCCTTCCAACGTTCTTTTACCTTACAGATGGGTGAGCAAGAGCACTGAAGAATGGGACTAGTCACTATTTAAGAGGTGGGGATGTGTAGTTTGTACTGACAATAAAGCTAAAAGCTTTCACAATATAATATAATGAAGAAAACGGGACCAATAAGTCCAGTGTGATTAAGGGAAGAGGGATTAAAAAGGAAAGAGCGACAATGCCATGATATCTTTAAGGCATCATAACAGTTTACCAAAAAAAAAAAAAAAAACTTCAGATATATATATATATATCTTAAACTTTTAAATTGTCCAGGTTTTTTTTTTCTCAACCCCCAGAGTAAAACACTAGCACTTTTTTCACCCCAACACAAATGTATGAGTATGTTTATGTAGACAGTCAACAATAACTGAAATCTTCAGAACAAACCTTCTTTCAGGTTCTCTTACAACACAAAAAACCCCCCAGTCCCTTTACTTGTGAGACTTGCTGGTTTTGAATGACACTTGTAGGACTCTGTCTCCCATGCGGTATCCGTTCAGGCTGGCAATGGCCATTGCTGCCTCCTCGTAATTTGTCATGGAAACAAACCCGAACCCTTTGCATTTGTTGGTGTTAAAGTCACGGATGACCTTGACGTTGGTGACAGCGCCGAACGGACCAAACATCTGCCACAGGATGCCTTCGTCTACATCTTGACCCAAATTGTAGATGAAGACACACCATCCAGAGGAAGAGCTGCTTGACACATTCATACCAGAGGCGCTGCTCATGTGGTCAACACTCATGGGTGAAAACCTGCCAGAGCAAGAAATGAATCACCTTTATTACAAAAGCTTTTCTCACAAACAGCCAATAATCTAATATATCTGATGCAAAACTACAACAGAATGATGGACAACATTAAAACTGCAGGAAGCGTGTTTGGCTGTCTCACCTGAAGCGCTGTGCCTGGTGATGAACAGGTCCACCGAACCGACGGGATTGAGTGTGGTACAGCTGAGAGAGCAGCTGGGAATTCTTGGTCTGGTTTGGATTGGCAGCAAACTTCACTGTGATTGGTTCAGAGGCACCAGCTGGTTTGGACCCATTAAGATCCTTGATGGCTTCTTCCGCTTCAGACCTCTTATCAAAACGAATGAATGCAACTCCACGCGACAGACCTGACAAGAAAGAAAGCCCCCCAAAATGAGTTGAGACCCAGAATACATTCAAATTGGAAAATTGCAGAGTGCAGGACAGAATTATTACCAGAAGCCTGATCGACCAGTATGCGGGAGTTTATGATATGCCCATACTGGGTAAACATGTCCTCTACATCCTTCTGCGCCATGGTCTTGGGTAAACCGCTGATGTACAGGTTGGCATCTTTGATGCTGTCAGAGCTTGGCCGGGCATATGAGACCTAATTTAATGGAGAAAAACTGCATTAATAACCACTCCATTAATCCATCATAAATGAAAATGTAAGAAGTCATCATGTTTGCCCCCATTACTGATGAAACTATGTAGTTCCATTGAGTATCCAAAGCATAACCTCAGATCTGAGATGCACATATGAAAAAAATAAAAACAAACCCAGAAAAATAAATCGACTACAATGTGACTACTATTGCGTACTTCATAAAAGGTATAAAGCAGCTTTTATAGTCTATGTCTAAAAAACAAAACTTTCAATTAAACTACAATGCTCAAAAGTAAAAAAACAAAAACAATAATAAATAAAATAAAATAAAAATAAATGTCTGGGACTTCAGCACAGGGCTTGTGTTCGGCACAATGTCATACTCAAGCAAATGACTATTAACGTTTACCCCTCCGTTTTTACACCACAACCACGCAAGAAATGAAAATAGCAGAATTGATCTTAAATGGGACCTATTATGGAAAATTCACTTTCACATGTTGTTTGGACAAATTGTGTTGGCAGTGTACACAACCACCCTATAATGATAAAAATCCACCCACTCTTTTTTTTTAAATAAGCAGCGTCTCCCAACTACCTGTTTTCAGAATTGGTGCTAATGTGACGTCACATTAGGCACAGGCCCCGCCCACGAAATTTGACAGACACTGCCGTTTTAACATAGAACCGCCCTGAGCGAGTTCACAGCGAGTTGTACACAGTCCGCCATTGCTGCACTGACGAGAATGCCTCCCATGCGTTTTAGGTGTTCTGTAGCTGGATGTATGTATCCACATAGCTCTCTCCATTTACTCCCGAAATCGGAGTCGCTGAAGACAAGGTGGATTAATTTTGTTTTCGAAGAAAATGCGTTTATGTCTGCGCGAATCATTTTACACCGGACTGCTTTGTGAATGAGGGTCAGTATAAAGCAGGTTTTGCACAAAAGTTGCTCTTGATGGACAGAGCAGTGCCAACTGTTCGTGATCCAGCTACACCTCCAGAAGTTGTATTACACGTTAGTTTAAAAAATTGCCTTTCTGAAAGAGCTTCTTGGCTCTCTGTAAGGCTAATGTTGTTAAAGCTACCATTGTCTGTCTGTTTTCACTGATGCTGCCTTCACGTGCTACCAGAATGATCGTAAATAGGAATGTGGGAGTTATAATTTCATATGAAAGCAATGTGAAGTTGACCGCTAGAATTAGTCGAGCTCATAATCACAAGTGGGGCGTATAAAGTTTGTAATAGCATGATAGCATCATGAGTTTTTTTTTTTTTTAATCGCGCCGTGCTACCGTCTGTGTAATTCATAAAGTGCATTTTTTTTATGCACAGTACAATCAGATGACTGACTTTTAAACCAAGTGCGCTTTCTGTAAAGATAACAGGCTTGTACTAATAGTGGAGTGTTTATTTGCAAAGGCTAGCACCGGTATTGCCAGAGCTTGAGCTCTTGAAGTTCCGCCCTCTTCCCCAGAGCACCAGCTCATTTGCATTTAAAGAGAAAGACACGAAAAAGGCACGGTTTGGCTCATACCCTAAAAGTGGCAATTTTAACAAGCTATAAAAAATTATCTGTACGGTATTTTGAGTTAAAACTTCACATACACACTCTGGGGACATCAGAGACTTATTTTACATCTTGTGAAAAGGGGCATAATAGGTCCCCTTTAAATGAACTACAAAATAAAAATGCCACTGACTTCAGTATAATTCTGTACCGAAATTAAACCATGCTAAGTCAAAGACAGCCAATCATACAGATTATAAGAGCAAAGACAACAAATGTCAGGAAAAAGAAAATTAAAAAGCAAAGAAAAGAAAAAAATAAAGGAACAATTGTGGAAACTCATGAAGTTGTTCATTCCTTACAGAAAGCAGACAGGACTGGAACACTGTCCTAACTGCTTTGAGTCAAGTGTACCAACATGGCATCTATAATTTAACACATGGAGACAAAAACACCTCTTTGCACGTTACCTTGATAGTTTTAGACTGTAGTCTCAGGCCATTGAGTGTATTGATTGCCCTTTCTGCATCATTAGGGTTAACATAGTTAACAAATCCGTACCCTAAACTGTGGCCTAGAGAAAACAAAAAGGGAAAAAAAAACAAAATAAAAATAACAAACGTTCGTCCACATCCTGCAGACTATTCTCTCTGCACAAAAGAAACAATGCAAGCTATTCTTGTGAATGACAATTGTAAAACAAAAACAGTAACATGTTCATCAAAAACAAAGTTTTGACATCAGGCAAGAAAACGGTTAGGATACAGAAATAAAAACCAAACACCAAAGAGTCTTCATAGAATAGTTTCTAGGACAAAAAAACATATACCTTCCTTCACCTCCTTAAAAATAAAAACAAAAAACATTAGTAGGCATTTATAAACGTTTAAATAAATAAAATATAGAATGTACATTACAACATAACTATACATCCTATTTCTAAGTATATTAAATTCCATAGATAGTGGGATGCTGCGGGCAGAGGAAAAAAAAACAAAAACAAGTCAAATAAAGCTAATGGCAGATGCATGAAGATGGCACCAGACTGACATCATTAGGCCTCTTCCAGGTACTCCACACTTCAACTGGAAATTGACAATTGTCCTCAAACAATAGGAAAACAAAAACAGCCAAAAGAACAAAAACACAACAACAAAAAATAAAGCACATTTGCTTATACACTTTGCACAGAACAAGACAGGATACCCACATCATTGGGGAAGAAAAAAGAAAAAGTATTTTTCAAAATGTCAAATTAGTTTTTGCAATCTACACACCAGAGTATGTGAGTGAAGTGGAGTGTGAGCGGCGTGATTATTGACTGGAGCGAGGATGGATTTTTTTGACAGAGTCGTGTTTTCACTCTTTCTGAGAGCGCTCCACGAGCACAATTAACTGCGTTTTATTAAGAATTCACACATTAAACATCATTAGCTAGCTTGACATATGTGGATCTCAAATAAGAAAGAAGATAAAGGTTAAAGGGTGCTCAATTGCCTGGTCCGAACCAGAGCTCAACCATTCCTTTTAAGTGGACTCAGGTACGGTTCGCACCCGAGTTCGGAAGACATCATCCCATCATCCAAACGTACCGAACTCTGACATCAAACGAACCAGGGTGCGTACCAAAAGTGCTAGTGTGAAAGCACCCATAATGACAGCAATGGACGTGCGGGAGGTTATATCTTAAGCATGTTTGTTTGTAGCATGTGGATACTCAATATTGATTGGGTGAATTCATGTTTTAAACAGTTTATAGTACAGGTACATTTGCTGCATACGCACACAATACACAAGCTCGCACATAGGAACATTCAAGAGTGCAGAATATTAGTCAACGCTGTCCTGTGATTTATCAGCTTAAAAACTGAAAAGTTACAGCACGTTATTTCTGTTTCTAAAGTAACTAAAACCCTCAGCTTCGACATAGTAGAGAGACGCTGCACAGACAAGTGAGTTAAACAGTCATTTAATATAGACTTCAGCTAATAGTGTTCCAGTAAACCACATTAAAACTAATCTTCTAGTATTGTGTTAATTTTCTGTTTAATATAATTTCTGAACAAAGCTTTGTGATATTTCAAAACGTACTAAAATACTTTAGCCGCAAACTGTCATGGAGCGGAGGGATGTTTCTGAACAGTTGAGCGAGGAGTGAAAAATTGTGAACCCAGAGCGGAGCTGGAACGGAGTGATTACTGAACACTTAGGAGTGCGGAGGGGAAATTGTTGCCGCTCCACTCTGCTCACATACTCTGCTCCACACCAAGAAAACATTTACAGAAAAACAAATGTGCTTGACTACAAAGCCCAATCAAAACTCAGCACATTGTGGGAGGACTCCAAGTCTAATCAAAAGCTCAATATTGAATCGGACCAGTACCATCTTTACACCTTCTCAAATAGTGGGGGGAAAAAATAAACCAAATGAAAATTTGTGAGCAAAATGTTTATTGGAGCATAAAACATACCACAGTGGACAGTGAAAAACTGCCACAATCCTGACCCAAGCTTCAATAAACTGGTCAAAAGAAAATGAAAGATTTGCCTTAAAAAAAAAAAAAAAAAACACTTCAAAATATTGGAAAAAAAAAAAAACCCTGTGCAATCCATATAGGACTTGTAACTGTGAAACCATTTTTCCTCACCAAAAAAATAAATAAATGTTGGAAATATAAACAAGAACTTATGAAAACAAACAGCCTTTCTCTTCATGCATCACTATCACAGAAGAGAAAGCCACCGGCTCATTGTGTTGAGACGTACCTGCCATCTTGTCTCTTATGAGTTTGGCCGACTCCACCTCGCCAATGCTGCTGAAGAGACTTCGAAGCTCCTCCTGACTCATGTTCTGAGGCAGGTAGTTGATAATCAGGTTGGTTTTCGCATCGCTCGGCTCATCGCCCATGTGGTCCTCGTAACCATTCGGCATGTCGTATTCTTCCTGCTTCAGAAAAAGTAATACATTGTGACCAAACCATCAAATTTACACTGGTAGACTAAATCCTAAAAAAAAGAAATGCAAGTAGAATGACCAACAATATCTGACATTAGTCTACACACAAAAATAATGGCCAATTTTACCTTTACTGAGCTGCCACCCTTGTGTGAGTCTCTGTCATTACCCTGGTTCTGAACCTCACAAACCTGCAGCAACAAATCAGTTGCAACATGATATAAATATAGATCTAATAACACCATGCAATATATAGCTATTTGCACTTTTGTTTTGCTAACTGTAATTCCTGGCCTTTATACTTACACTACGCACAAAACCAATAAAGTTGAAACTAATATAATCAAATACTAAAATTTGGTGATTTTTTTTTTTTTTTACCAAAACCAAAATGTAAGTTTTCATTTAGCTGTAAACTGATGTTTACGCTGTTCAAACTTGGTCTGCTGTTCAGGTGTTGTGTCCAAAATGATAAATTAAACCAGTAATAGTAAAGTTCCTCAGCAACAGATTCTTCTACTTTTTATTTTTGGTCATGGTGAAGTGCGTCTTCACTGCTAACACTTGGCTGACGTCGTTGTTGCACGGATAAAATAGATGCTGAAACTGTCAAAACGCATCAGAGAAGCACTAATTAAACATCACTATATCAATAACTTCAGCTAGGGCTGGACAATAATTCAATATCAATATGTATCGCGATATAATTTCTCTCAATAACGGTGATATGATTTTTAAACACATTTCCGATATTTCGACATTACCAGTGTTTCCCATACATTGATTTATTTGTGGCATTTGATTTCATTAAAAAACATGAGCATCAAAATCAAACCGCACCGCAGGTGTTTTATATGAATGAATCTCTGAAGGGAACTGACTGTCTTCTGAAAAGTTTCAATGACGTTTTCATTTTTATATGATAAAGCAGCTTTCATGAGCGGAGCTGCTTTGATTACAGCAATTACTGGGGAAACCGCTAGTTTTATCACTCTAAAAGCCCATCTCCAGCAACATGTTTTTGCTCAATTTATTTGTTTTCTGCAGCAACTCAGAGCACTTTCATATTCTTTATCCTGGCTGAAGCACATTTGTCTCAATCTATAAGAATAATCAGCCTACACTACCAGTCAAAGGCTTTTTAACAGTAAGATTTGTAGTAAAAAAAAAAAAATCTTCTGCTGACCAAGCCTGCATTTATTTGATCCAAAGTAGGCTACAGCAAAAACAGTAACGTTCTGAAGTATTTTTACTATTTAAAATAACTGCCTTCTATTTGAAATTATAGAAATTGTATTTAGCGCTGCAATTTTATTTTATTTATACTACTTTTATTTAGCAAGGATGCTTTAAATTGATCAAAAAGTTCATAATGCTACAAAAGATTTCCATTTCAGACAAATGCTGTTCTTCTGAACTTTCTATTCAAAGAAACCTGAACAAATTCTACTCGAGTAGTTTAGTAATTCTACTAAAATTATGCTTTTTTTAAATAGTGTTCATATCGATATCGGAATTATATCGTATCGAGCGAAATTTAAAAAATATATCGTGATAAATTTTGTCCATATCGTCCAGCCCTAACTTCAGCTCTCCAAAACTATTTTGGCCATAATCAAAAGTTAGTTTTTTGCTGTTACAGACAAATATATTATTTTACTAACATTCCTGTGTTAAAACCACTTGAAATTCCCTGAAATTCTTCACAAGTATCAATCAAATAAACGAGTAAACCGAAACACCGATTGTTCAGGGCAACAGAAATTCTTCATATTAATGTTGAACTGTTATAAGGTAACTCACCATTTCACTGAAGAAATAGAAGTAAAGTAGATTATAAATACTTACTTTTAAATATCTTATGTGTCCTCTTCTGACGGCCATGTAGACACTTTAAAGCTTCAAAATCTTAGTCTGAAAATGAAAAAAGTCAATCGTAAAAGGCCTTGCAGTAAAAGCACATTCTCTACTAAAGAGCATTTCAATATTTGCACTAGCTTAGGAACAACAACAAAACCACTCAAGTCTACTACTTACAATTAAATAAACGTTTACTCGTCGATGTATTTACCCTACAAACATAAAACAATGAAGAGCTAAATGCTAAACGCATAGCTTAAACGTACGCATGGATGCTAAGCTAGGCTAACCACACTAAGCTAGGCTGCACACGGACAGCGCGAACGGTTACAAATAAACAAACAACAGCAACATTGCAATAGCACCATAACCCACGCATAGATTGGTCCCATTATAAGCTAAACTCGTTTTGCAAATTAAAATACTTTCAACGCGTCAGGCCGCTCTTTTGAGGCCCGCCAGTATTGAAGCTAACAGCGCGCGAGAGCGAGAGCGTGCAGTCCGCACATTTGAAAAAAATACAAATATCACAGATTAGAACATAAGAATGGCATAATTTTCAAACCCAAATACACATACCTTCGTTTCCTTTGTCCTCGACCGCCGTTGTAGTAGAGCGAGTCACAAACCGTGTAGAGAACAAAGCGGAGGAGATCTGCGCTACCTACTTCGGCGTCGCGAGCTCAAGCGGAAGTGAAGCCACACCTCCTTCCGGCTGGAGGAAGAGATGCTGCGGAGCCACAGCCCATCTGAGCACAGCTTCAGCGAAACATCCCACCAGCGTTTCAGAGCATTGACAGTTTATTTGTTTGTTTGCAGCGATCTATTATGTTTGATCAATTATTATGTAACATCGGATATATACATGAATACAGCATGAAATATAGGCAGTTTTAAACACATCTAACGTCTGTATCAATCTGTACCCCATTCCTCCTAAAATGGCGATGGCCTCAACAAACTCAAAATTATGCAACGTTTTTTTTTACCCTCTTTATTTCTTTAGAAAATTGTGACATTGACATTTTGTGTTTGACTATTATTTATTTGGAATTATTATAAAAAATTGAATTATTAAAACGTATGCATATTAGCCTATGCATAAATTAAACATATTATGCATACCATATGGTGAGGTGGGGAAGTTGTAATTGTTCTATCTTTTTGATAACGATGTAATCAGTTTGACATATTTAGAATATGACACTAACTTAAAATTCAGTTCATATTTTTTATTATTAACTTTTAATGGTCAAAAAATTTCAGAATTAACATCAGTTGAACCATTTTTTTAGCACGTCAGGAAATAAGTAAATCATTTCCTTTCCAGTTCCCATTCCTCCTAAAATGGCGATGGCCTCAACAAACTCAAAATTATGCAACGTTTTTTTTTACCCTCTTTATTTCTTTAGAAAATTGTGACATTGACATTTTGTGTTTGACTATTATTTATTTGGAATTATTATAAAAAATTGAATTATTAAAACGTATGCATATTAGCCTATGCATAAATTAAACATATTATGCATACCATATGGTGAGGTGGGGAAGTTGTAATTGTTCTATCTTTTTGATAACGATGTAATCAGTTTGACATATTTAGAATATGACACTCTAACTTAAAATTCAGTTCATATTTTTTATTATTAACTTTTAATGGTCAAAAAATTTCAGAATTAACATCAGTTGAACCATTTTTTTAGCACGTCAGGAAATAAGTAAATCATTTCCTTTCCAGTTTTTTTTTTACACTGGCCTACAGATTTAGTGTTACATTTGTTTTTGGTGCCAATTAGGGACATGATATTAAAAATACTGAGGTCAATAAATAGCCTTTCTTAGACTCATTATTAAAGCATGTGATATAGCATGATTTATTAATCTTGGAAACATGGACACTCCTGCTCAAACATAAACAGAATCTACTCCGGCTTGCAGTTGAACACAGAATCAAGTGCAAAATATTAATATTATTCATACACAGTGTTGGGAAGGTTACTTTGGAAATGTAATAGGTTACAGATTACAAGTTACCCTATTTAAAAGGTAATATGTAGTGTAACTATTTCAATTACTTTATTAAAGTAATGTAACTGATTACATTTGATTACCTTTCTAAATTTCTACTGAATGTTTTCAACTGTTAATCATTTTCAAACATTTAACCTAAAAAAACAAAACAGAGAGTTATATTTAAGAGAAAACACAATTCTAGATCATTTTACAGTAGTAAAAAAAAGTTTTTCTTCTTACTGATATAAAACATCTACATACTATTCTTTTTAACACTAATTTTCAAACATTTAACCTAAAAAAACAAAACAGAGAGTTATATTTAAGAGAAAACACAATTCTAGATCATTTTACAGTAGTAAAAAAAAAGTTTTTCTTCTTACTGATATAAAACATCTACATACTATTCTTTTTAACACTATGTGTGTGTGTGAAGGGAACACATGTTCACATTTCTCAATAACAGAAGCAAGAATAGATTCTAGTTTCATATTCACTGACAACTGAAACAGACTCCCCCAATGTATCTGTTATAACATGCATGGTATTTTTTTTAATAGTTATATTCCACCAAAAATATTGTTTAGACTCAATGACCAATCATTGTTTAGTTAAATAGCTCTATTTTGCAAGTCAAAACTAGAGAGACTTGTCAACTAGGTTGCGATTAAGGTTAACATTCATAATAGAAGATGCTTCCTCAGATTCGACATTGAATCCTTCAAACATATTTTGCACTGAATTGTTATATTTGTGCCCTTTTCTAATTCCTGGATGAAATGATTTTTAAATTTCCAGCGCTGGAACACATTTTTATCACTCGCCCTGGTGGCAACTCTCAGACAGTTTGTAGACTAGAGCTTTCAGCGGCAATGTGGATTGATGGAATTGGCAGATGTGGTTCAAACAAATTCAAACAAGAGAACCAATCAAGAGCATCAGAATAGCATCGCTTTACTAAACGGCTTTTAAATGGCCGGAGACATCGTGCACATCAAAAACAGGCAAAGCAATAAATTAATGTTATTCAACTGACATTTCCTAGCTTTTTACAGAAAATATTCAGATGTAGCCCCTTTTGTAATTGTTAACATTTTCATAAGTAACTAATTGAATTACTTTTTTTTCTCAGTAACTGTAACAGATAGTTACATTTATTTTGTAATTAAATTACGTAACTCTGTTACATGTAACTAGTTACTCCCCAACACTGTTCATACATAGCCATAATGTTCCAGTGATGTCTAATTAGGCTACTGTTTATGTCAGCAGTATGTACAAAGCATTCTTGTTTGGCAAAGATCGAAATAAAGTAGAATGAGAGAAGCAACTATATGATATACTGAAACATTTTGCAATGCTGTTACATGTTCATAGAGGCAGATAAATTTAGCCTACATAAAGTTCACCAAAAACAGCCCTTCAACATTCAACATTGAAAAATATTCTTCCATGCCTTCAATCCCAAGCGTAGATCTCTGCAGAATTTCCTATTTGAGAAATTGGAAGCCCCTGTACAGTAGAAGAGGTAGACAGTGTGGCTGAAGCATGCTAGTTGTATTAATTCCACCTCATATAGAAGATTTCTTATAGTACGGTGACAGTTTAGGTGCGATTTTCAATAAAACATTCCCAGATGTTTAAGAGAGAAGAAGGGGGCGACTGAATTTGACATCAATTCGATTTGATGGGCGATAAACTGCCAAAGATGAGCCGGGAAAAACATAATCCTTGACTGTGGCATTCTGTCATATCCTTCCATTAGTCTACCATTGAAGCATTTTTTGAAATGTTGAATTAAGATGGGGGAAAAGACATATAAAGATACACTATATATATATATATATATATATATATATATATATATATATATATATATATATATATATATATTAATTTATGAATAGTGTATGCAATACAAATTTACGGGTCTTTTAGCAGTCATTCCTAAACAAATATGTACTATCACAACATCACAGATACATGATCCTTACTAACTTTAAAGAGAGAATAGGATTGTATGGACAGTTGCATATGATAGCAAATGAAGAAGGAGCAACATGAATTTCAGTTCAGATGAGAGACAATCTTATTCACACTGCTTGTGCAAAGAGAAAACAACTATGTTTGCTGTGTTGCTAACCTAAAGTTGCCATCAAAGCCACATGCCTCCATACGAAGAGCTTTAAGAAACAGCTCATCATGTGTCAGTCCAGTATTAAAATAGCAAAAGTGGAAGAGGAGAAGAAGAAATTCTCAGTGCATTTTTAAAGCATTGTCTTTGTCCTCCTTTGTCTTCCGTGAGAATCCAAATCTATAGATCATCCAGGCTACTGACATTCTGCCGTACTGCCGCCTGCCTCCACGCTCATGGAGAAACCATTACTGAGGTTCTTGGGACTGGGTGGGGTGGTGCTCACCGGCGAAGGCTCGTGTTTGCCTCCCGGATCCACTGAGCAGCTCTTCTTGGGCACCCTGGGCCGAACCACTGGAGCCTTTGGAAGGACGGAGGTCTGCCTGTGTCCCTCTGCTATCAGGGGTGGGCGAGTGGGCATGGGCCCAGATAGGACAGAAGGTTTAGATTTATGGGTAGGGTGGAGGGGGGGACACGAGGGACTCAAGGCACCATCTTCAACCTTCTCAGATCCCTCTTTAATGGGAATGGGCTCTCTTTGTGAATCCACTGTGTTGTCCTTCTGTATGCTGCTCTGGCGTGAGGTCTTGTCTGCATTAGGCATTTCGCAACTGTCCGTCCGCCGTCGTGAGCCCTCGTGCATCCGGCTTGTGGCGACCACAGCTTTCATAGCAGCCTATGGATGGAGAAACTCATGATTAATGCGCACTGGTTCAGTAAAATACTCATGATTCTGCTAGTAAAAAGCACAGAAATCATATTCTTGAACAGCATAATATCCTACATTGAACAACATTTGACTTTAAGGGACTCGAGAATGAAAGTTCTGTCATCATTTACTCACCATCAAGTTGTTCCAAATCTGTATGAATTCTGTTGAACACAAAATAAGTTATTTTTAGGAATGTGGGTAACCAAACAGTTGCTGGGAGCCATTGACTTACGTAATATTTTTTTTCCCATACAATGGAAGTCATTGGGGACCAACAACTCTTTGGTTACCAATATTCTTCAAAATATCCTATTTTCTGTTCCACAAAATTAACTAATATAATTTTGGAACAACTTGAGGGTGAGTAAATGATGACAGAATTTTCATTTTTGGGTGAAATGCTCCAATAAAGTAAATTACCATTATATTAATTTATTTAAAAAATACATTAAAATGCAATTCATGTTTGCAATGACTTGGACACAAAGCATGTTTTTAGTCCTTGAATTAAAATTGATATTAAATTGATATTTCTGAGGGTGCATAAAGCCAAGAATGTCAGGTTGACACAACTGTCTTGATATCATAATGACATTTTTTTCAGCAAAAGGGATAGTTCAGCAAAAATGAAAATTCTGTAATCATTTACTCACCCTCATGTTGTTGCAAACCCATAGGACTTTGGTTAATCTTCGAAACACAAATTATATGTGACCCTGGACCACAAAACCAGTCTTAAGTCGCTGGGGTATATTTTTAGCAATAGTCAAAAAAACATTGTACGGGTCAAAATTATCGCCAAATTTTCGCTTTTATGCCAAAAATCATTAGGATATTAAGTAAAGATCATGTTCCTTGAAGATATTTTGTAAATTTTCAACCGTAAATATATCAAAACGTAATTTT